GTACATATCTTTTCAAAGGTTGAACAACCTTCTTTGTTTAACCTGAAGCAATAATCATTTTCTGCACTTGCAATCTATCATATAGAACTTTTCCAATATTCTTTAACTGAGCGTTGTTCCGAAAATACAACAATAACAACATCCACACCATTATGTGAGATAGATTGCAAGGACAGGAAAAATGTTTTGTTCAAGGTTAGAAGAAAATTGAAGATTTTTTCCTGTCTTGCAATCCATCCCAAAGAATGATGTGTATGAGTTTGGGGCGGAAACATATAAGTTAAGATTAGGGTAAAATTTGTTTAACGACTATTTTTATAGTAAAATATGATTATTTTATCCTTCGATTATTACGGAAATCAAAGAGATAGATCATTAAGTTTACACTTATAAAAAAATAAAAACATAAACTGCAATAGTCAGGATTTGAAGCGTGTCCTGAGTTGTTTTCCCCTCGGTTATAATAAAAGCTGAGGGAATATGTTGTTTTTATTTTTAAATAAAATATGGCATGCCTTGGCGTTATACCTCGATTTATTTTGCCGAGGTGAAAGCTTTGTCATGAAATATATTATTTGTAGTAGTGTGTTTTTAAACTCTACTTTTATCTCCCAAAAGTTTTCAAAACCTCGTTTTTTCAAAACATACAATTAACCCATCTCTTATGTGTGAAGTCTCAAGTCCAACAAACTCCACCTTGCTCAACACCCAATTATCTCACCAATCCCGTAAACAATAAGGATTCTTTGGCAACTTTTCCTACCACCACGAATTGTGCATTAGTTGTCGACATAGCCACTATGGATCGAACCGATGATTTCCATCAAATAGGTCTTCCTACTAAGATAAAGATATACCCAATTTTACACCTCTTATCATCCATATCACATGCTTTGAGTAAACATATACTACAACTGAAGGATCACTCTGTTTACTACTAAACACGATCCTGAAACTCATAGTACCCTTCAAGTACCTGAAAATCCACTTAATTGCTTCCCAATGACATTTTCCTAATTTGAACATAAACTTACAAACTTAAATTACAACTTGTTCCAAATCTGGTATAGTGCAAACCATATTATACATTAAACAACTAATAACACTGGCATACGGGACCTTCAACATATACTCAACTTCTGCATCTGTCTTTAGACACTGATCCAATGAGAGTTTAAAGTCATTCACCAATGAAGTACATACAACTTTCGAATTACTCATGTCAAACTTGTCTAGCACCTTTTCAACATAACTTTTTTGAGAGAGCCATAATTTTGGAACTCTTATCCCTGTGGATTTCTATATCAAGAATAATCTTAGCAACACCTAAATATTTCATGTCAAACTCATTTCTCAACATAATTTTCAGTTTATTTACAACATGTAAATGATTAATAAAAATTAACATATCATAAACATACAATAATAGAAAAATAAAAGAGCCATCATCAATGCTCCTAACATACTCACAACAATCATACTCACACCTTTTGTATCCAATCTTAAGCATGTATGAATCAAAGCGCTTGTACCATTGCTTTGGAGAATGCTTTAAACTATACAAAGACATCTTAAAGTTACAAACTACTTTTCCATGTCCAGTGACACTGAACCCCTTTGGTTGCTTTATATAAATTTTCTCATCCAAATTATCGTAAAGAAATGATGTCTTCACATTTATATTCTCTAAATACATGTCTCGGTTGACTACAAAGGCTAATACTACCTTGATAGAAGTATGTATGATGATCAGAAAAAATGTCATCATAATCGATCCCCTTCAGTTGTGAGTACCCCTTTGCTACAAAATGAGCCTTGAACTTTTCCCCTTCTTTTTCTGTTATTGCTGGTTTTCTCTTAAACAACCACTTACAACTGATGACCATTTTTACCTTAGGAATCTAAATAAGCTCACGTGTTTAATTTTTCTTCAAGGAATCCATCTCATCCACCATTGCACCCATCCACACATCTTTCTCCTGGCTAGCTATAGCCTCTCGAAAACTAAAAGGGTCTTTAGAACTAGTAAAAAGTTCATAGGCTGGCAAGTCTTCATACCCATATATTTCTAGTGGCTTGATTGAACGATGTTCTTTATCATGTACAATAATATAATGATGTACTCCATCTGAAACTCAGAGTTCATGGTCAATTTCCATATATTTCTAGTCGATGTGGGACTTTTAGCTACTCACACTTGAATTTCAACAATCTCTCTCACAAGTGTGAGTCACCCATATCATTGGCCTTGATCCACACTAGGATGTATTTTCACTCCTCCGTCGAGCCTAACCAAGCTATGATACCACTTATTTAGGAGTTTGGGGAGTGACGAAAGTTTCAATGTGCCGAACGATCAGGATCCAAGAGACTTTGACCCCACAAATCCACCCAGAATCTTAAGGCAATGGGAGTATGGGTCATTTCTCTTATAAACCCAACATTTCCTCCATTCCAAGACGATGTGGGACTTAACCACTCACACTTGAATCCCAATAATCTCCTCCACAAGTATAAGCCAGTCACATCACTAGCCTTGATTCACATTAGGATCCACTTTCTCTCCCCCACTGAGCCTAACCAAGCTACGATACCACTTTTTGGGGTGTTCGAAAGCGTCGAAAGTGTCGTAAGTTTCAATGGGCCAAACGATAAGGATCCAAGAGACTTTGACCCCAAAAATCCACTCAAAACCTTAAGGAAATGGGAGTATGGTCCTTTCTCTTATAAAGCCAACATTTCCTCAATTTCAAGGTGACGTGGGACTTAACCACTCACACTTGAATCCCAACAATCTCTTCCACAAGTGTAAATCACCCACATCACTAGCCTTGATTCACATTAGGATCCACTTTCGCTTCCCCATCAAGCTTAACCAATCTAGGGTACCACTTTTTGGGGAGTTTGAAAGTGTCGAAAATTTCAATGTGCCAAATGTCGAGGATCCAAGAGACCTTGACGCACTTATCCATCAAAAACCTTAAGGCATTGGGGTATGTATCCTTACTCTTATATACCTAGCATTTCCTTAATTTATAGTCAATTTAGAAATTTTAGCCACTCATAATTGAATCCCAACAATCTTCCTCACAAGTGTGAGTCACCCATATCAATATCCTTGATCCAGACTAGGATCCACTTCCGCTCCCTCAACGAATTTAACTAGGCTCTAATATCACTTGTTGGGGAGTCTGGGTTGCACCAGAAGGGCATAAAGTGTCAATAGGCAAAATATTCAAGATCCAAGAGAACTTGATGTCACATACCAACATAAAATTTTAAGGCATTAGGGGTATATTCCTTACTCTTATATACCTAACATTTCCTCCATTTATAGTCGATGTGAGACTTTTAGTTACTCACACTTGAATTCCAACAATCTCTCCCACAAGTGTGAGTGACCCACATCACTAGCATTGATTCACACTATGATCCATTCCCGCTCCCTCACCGAGCCTAAACAGATTCTTATTCCACTTGTTGAGGAGTCCAAGGAGCGCCAGAAGTGTCAATAGACTAAATGTTCTGGATCCAAGAGTTTTGATGCCACATATCCACACAAAATCTTAAGGCGGTGAGAGTATGAGTCATTTCTTTTATAAACTCAATATTTTCTCCATTTATAGTCGATATGAAACTAAATCACTCATACTTATATTCAAACCGTATTTTTAAATTTTGTGACTACATGAACGAACATAGCTTTGAACCTTGTCAAATATATGAAATCATTTTATGAACTCTAATTATACGTAAAATAATCTCATAATCAAACCACTAAACTATGTGAAGACTAATGATAAGATGATTAAGATTATTTGTCATTGTGTTGGATAAATTAAAAAAATTAATCGTCAATATGTTGAACAAATTAATTTAGTTAAATTATAATTTTGATTTCTCTATTTTAGTCGGTTCTTTCATTTTATTTTTAAACGGTTTTAGTTTTTATCTTATTTTTTCTATTAAAAATGTGTTGATGTATCACTTTTTTAAATAGTTGAAATATAAAAAATGACGTGTACAATTTCATTTGTCTATTCTTTTGTGTCATATCATTCAAAATATTTATTAAGTCTTAAATTATTCATAAAATAAATATAAAAAAAAAAATTATCAATGGTACAATTTTAACAATTACTCATGAGCCTAATTTTTCTCTCTCTTTTTGTTCACTTTAAGGTCTTATGATCTGCAAAAATCCAAAATTGTATTTCTGAATTTTTTATTATTCTCATTAATTTACATTAATTTTAATTAGTTTTCTACTTAAATTTCAAAAAAAAAATCTTATTCTTTCGGTGGTTGTGATGTAAATGGTGCTTTACAAACTTCTTAATATGAAATTTTGCTGAGGCATTGAGAGAAGTACTCAACAACAACAAAATCCTGATAAAACTAAACTAAATCCTAATAAACCCAAAAAATAAAAATAAAAGAAGAAATCCAAATTAACATAATTCCATATGCTAGAATAATAATTTAAACTCAGTTTTGAAAATAATTGATCAAATAGTTTAACATTAATATATATATTGTGCTCTATGACCAAGGATAGATACAAAAATACTCATTCTTGTATTCGTAGTAACTTATCTAAATAATTAATTATTTGAATCTATATTTATTTTTGCAGATTTTTATGTTATCCATTATAGTTATTGTGAATATCATAAGAGATGGACTAAATAATAAATTATATAAAAATAAATTTTAAAAAAAATTATCTCATAAATATAAATAGACTACTGGGAGAGAAAGTATTATATTGGAAATAGGTGTAGTCATCCTATTTATTAAAAGGCTAACCATATTAAAAATCCACATCAGAAAAACATTGTTTATATGCATTTTTCTCGGTTCATTCACGAGGTACACATTAATCCAAACTTTGACTCTCATTAATATCTCTAAATCCAAAGCTGTTTACTTTTTCAACACACTTCACTCCACCCTTTATATTCTTCCCCCTTGCCACAACCTTCAAACAAGCACCAAAAATGAGACTTTCAATTTCTTCTTGCACCTTCATCCTATTCACCCTACTTTTCTCTTTGGTAACATCCTCTTTACTATTTTCATATTTTCATATAATCACAATTTTTATTTATCAAGAAAAAAAATATATTTCCACTTAATTAATTGCTCAATTTTATGATAACTTTTTTTGTGTGCAGATTATTCAAGAGAATCATGCTAGAAAGATAAACAATATCATGGAAGTTGAAAATTCTGATGAAGAAGTTCATCATCACAATCAAATAGAGCCTGAATTGAATGTATTTTTCGTTCCAAACGATCTAAAAATCGGAAAAATAATGCCTATATATTTTTCAAAAAAAGACTTATCAACAACTCCAAAATTCCTCCCGAAAGAAGAATCAGAAAAACTCCCTTTCACACCAAAAGAACTCCCTCTCCTTCTGGATTTCTTCACCATCCCAAAAGATTCACCTCAAGCCAAAGCCATGAAGTACACACTTGACCAATGCAACTTTGAACCTATGGAAGGGGAAACAAAATTCTGCGCAACATCGTTAGAATCTTTATTCGATTTCGCAAACTCCATGTTTGGTTCAAACTCAAACTTCAAATTCTTGACCACAAAACATGTCACAGAATCCACCATCCCTTTACAAAACTACACAATTGCGAAAGTGAACAAAATCTCAGTTCCTAATGCTTTTGGATGTCACCCTATGCCATACCCTTTCGCAGTATTCTACTGTCATACTCAAAAGGGTGATGCCAATTTGTATGAACTCGTTCTTGAGGGTGAAAATGGTGAAGTTATTGAAGCTGCAGGTATTTGTCATATGGATACTTCTAAATGGGACGCCGATCACGTCGCCTTTCGTGTTCTCGATACTCGACCGGGAAAGTCTCCGGTGTGTCATTTTTTTCCGCCTGATAATCTTGTTTTGGTTCCTACATCTTAAATAATTGTAGTTGTTTTGTTTATGAAAGAATGTGAAGAACTTGTCAACTATGATAATAAATCTAGACATGGTGTATTAAGAAAGAGAGCATCTTGATGCAAAACTAAATAATTAAGATGATGTATTTGTCTGATTTTATATCCTTGTAGTTCTGAATTATATTTTGTTTATGCTGATCTAAGTTGCTTATGCAAGAAGTTTTTTTTTATGAAGTTTGTTTTATTGATTGAAAAACAGAAAGAATAAAAAAAAATTCAAAAGTCAAATCTGATGACAAATTATTTTTAAAAAATGATATTGAAAAACCTCTGAAGTCAAAAGTTGTATTGTTGGTTTTCATACGCATCTTGTTAGGTACTATCCAACTATAATATTCCATATATACAACGTATATAAAATATACTTGAGTTTGACTAGATTAATTTATTATGTAAAAAAATGCATTATGTAAAAATATACACTATTTTTTATGGAATATCCTAAGGTGAACTCATTTAATTAATTTTTATGAAAAAGTCATTAATTTGATCTCAGATTAAAATCTTTAATTTTATTCTTAATTGTTTCAAGCAAATAAATACACTATTAGAAGCGGAATTTCATCACAAACACGATTCTATAATTAGTTTTTCATAAAATCTCATAACCAAATCGGATCGAACATGTTTATATTCGAATTTCATTCCACTTTTTTTGTTTCGATTTGTCAAATTTACAGTTTGTTTTACAATTTTAAATATTTGAAATTGATCTTGCCTGATCAAACTTGGACCGTCACGACTGACTCGGGCAGAATTTGAGTGAGATGGGGGGGTGTACCTGCAAGATACTCCGATGTTAAAATGAGTGACGGAACGAGCAGGCAAAAAGTGTATAGATGCGTCAGAAATGAATACCTGACCTTCTAGGAACAGAGGGTATTTATAGCCCCCAGCGCTGGGCCAAGGTCCCCTCATTGGGCCGACAAGAACTGGCCCAATAAAGGAACTGCCAGGTTCTACGTGTGTAGTGGGGCTCCGCACGTGGTCCCCTTCCTGGTGATGCTCTGCGAAGAATGAGGAGGGACGAAGACGCGGTCTTTCTGGAGTTTAGATGATTCGATAACGGTCAGAGAGGACCGAATCTGCCCTACGGGGAGAGTGCTCGAGCAGGACTCGACCTGGAATTCCCTTGGTCGGGGACACCATGTGCGCGGGCAATGGCGAGCGTGGCTGCAGTCTGTGGTCGGGCACGTCGGCGGCGATCCGCGGGTGCATATTCCTCGAGGAGTTTGCTTAGGTTGGGCCTTTACCTGCGCTTTGGGCCAGGGCGGGCCCAGTCTAGAACAGGAGCCCCCCAAGTCGTTGCTCCTGGAGCAGGAGTTATGACTTGACTTCAGCTCGCCTTTACCACGGAAATCTGATGCCCGAACCAGGATATTGCTCCCTGATGCGTGCTCGAGGAGTTTCCCACGGGTTGTGCTCGTAGCGTAATCCTTGTCGACGCGTGCTCGGAGAATTCCTTGCGGGCTGTGTTTGTTGGATACACGAGGAAATCCTTGGGAACCGTGAGGCCACCCTAGCGATAATAGGATCATCATTGCCTAGGGGAGTAGATGTCGAGGAGGAGAAGTTCGTGGCTCCCCGGGGCGATGTTTCGTATTCCACGTCATCCCTATAAATAGGACCATTGGGTCCCATAATTTGTTTTTCTTCTTCGCGCTTCTCCTTCTTCCTCTGCATCCGCCATCATTGTTTTTCTACAACATCGCAAGATTACCGCACCTTCCTCCGTTGACTTCTTTCATCGCTGCCGTACATTCTTCTTTGCTTCCAAGTAAGTGTTCATTCCTCCCGTTTTTCTTCGTTGTAGGTAGTTTTACCGTTATTTGGATGTTAGAAACCCATATCTGGAATTAGTGCTCGGTATATTCATGTCTGTGCCCGGTGAACCCATAGTTTTAGGTACGTGACTCACAATGCAGCCCGCGACCTTCATAGTTTTAGGTGCACGATCTATGATTATGCCCGTGATATTGGTAATTTTAGGCATATGATCTATGATACTGCCCGTCACATTCACGATTTTGGTCGGCGCACCCATGAGCTGGCCGGGATGTTGACCCCTTAGCAAGTGTGTAGGGCAACTCGTTGTAGCATCTTAGTGTCGGGCAGGCGAAGTCAGGGCCTTGCTCGAGTCATCCATGTTTATCGCCCGGGTGTTCATGCTATTCCCTTGTTGTTTCCGAAGCCTGGTCGAGCTGGGGTGTCCGTGTTTGGCTTGTCGCGCGCTACTTCCCGTCACTGTGGTGAGCATGCAGATTTGCTCTCGAATTTCACCGGTTTCCTGTGCTTTGCAGGTAAATGGCCGACGAACCGGAATCTTCGAGGCGTAATGAGGTCGAGGACCAAAGTACCGAAGAGAACGTGACTCTAGTTGATACCGTCGATGACCCCTCGTTGGATTGGGTGGGCGTAGAGCCCCGAGGGATTGCCTCGGCGTATTATCGGCGTAGTCGGCGCACATACACCATCGTCGAACACGACGGTAGTCAGCCAGGTTTCTAAAAGAATTTTATTGTGACGAGGCCGTCCATCAATGCACGAATCTGCTCGGAGTTCACCGAGTATGGGTTTCTGATGTACGAGATCGTGTTTAGGGATCTCGGTCTCACGCTTCCTTTCAGTGATTTCCAAGCCGGGGTGTTCTGCCATCTGAACTTGGCCCCTTCCCAACTTCATCCTAATTCGATCACCTTCCTTCGGGCGTTCGAGCTGACATGTCTCTTATTGAGGATCGGGCGACCATTCCCCTTTTCTTTAGAGTTTTTCACCTGCAGCGTCAGTCTTGAGGAGGCAGGCATAGCTGGGTTTCCCTGAAACAGTCGAAGAGGCTGTTCAGGATGTACATGGATTCAGTCAGGGGCTTCAAGGACAAGTGGTACGTTATGCAGCCGGTCACCCAGACTGCTTTGGATTCTATGTATGAAGAGGAAACCGCGGTAGTCGATAAGAACGGGGAGCCCCTCACGGATGCTGAAGGTCGACCGACAATGGGGCGCGTATCCAAGTTCCCGTTACATTGGTGCCCGGGCCATTACGACCATGGTATCGGGTACTATCACACGCCCGCAGGAAGCATGTGCGCCGAGGATGAAGAAGCCTATGGTATCCTTTAAAAGTATGTCGACAACTTCTTCCCTGCCCGGTGGGTCACGAGGGAAGGGGAAGATATTCTTGACAAGGAAGGGTACGCGATGTTCGAGGCCTGTCCCATCGACACAAAGGCATTCGTCGAGTGCCAATCTTACGGGCAGGCCATAGATCTATTAGGTTTCTTGCTTTTGTTTTGTTGTTTTATTCCATTTTCGTTGTTTTTTACTTGCTCGCCACTAACCCGAGTTTTCCTCTTCTTTGCAGGCGACATGGTTGAACGAAGGGAGAGGCTTTTAAAACTGACTCAGGACAAGAGAGTAAACAGAAGGCTAGTGCAAGCTCCGTAGGCCATGAGTATGGGCCCGCCGACCAGTTCGGGTGATGCTTCTAGCGGGTCCCCGGGCTCCCCTAACGCCGAGCAGCCCACTGAGCTGATTACGAGAAAGAGAAGTCGGGCAGATAATATGTCGGAGGTTGGCGACGAGTCTGTCGCTGCGAGGGCCTTCGACTTACCCCCATGTTTCAAAGAGGAATATTTCTTCGAGGGGTTTCCCCTGACAGTGAGCAACAAGGAGGCCAAGACCATCAGGCGGCTCAACAAAGAAAGCCGGAGAAAACACCTGGCCGCCAGTATGGTCGGGATGGTGAAGATGGCCGAGATGGATGTTGTCCTTGCTGAGGAAGGGTCGGACTCCTCGGATCGTGTCAGGGAGTTGGAGTCGGAGAAAGCTGCCCTCGTTACCGGCTCTCGTAAGTTGAAGGCTGCCCTCGAGCGATCTGAGGAAATGTTCCGCGAATAAGCAGACCTGCTGGCGGTGGAGAAGGAAAACTCCGGGAAGGTTGGTGAGGAGAGGGATTGTCTTCGACTGGATAGGGAATGCTTGGAGGCCGACAACGAACATTTGTCTAAGGAAGTCGAGGAGCTGAAAGCTGCCATGCTTCCTGCTGAAGATGAGTCGGAGGATACAGTCCCTTCGCAGAGCCATTCGGATTTGGTCGCGTGCATCCATCTTCTCGAAACAGACTATGTCAGTGCTTTAGTAGACGGGTTTGAGGCCGCGGTCATCCAGCTCACCATATTGAATCCAGGCATGAATACCGAGGGAGTGGGTTTCATGTCTCAGATTATTGACGGCCAGGTCGTGCCTCCTCCTGAGTCTCCCGTGGTGGATGCTGGCAGTCCCGAGAACATTTAGCCGTGGAGTTTTTGGTCGGGCCTGCATGCCTGTTTATTGGTATTTGTTTTGCGGCCTGCATGCCCGTGCTTATTTTTGGGGCCTGCGTGCCCGTACATATTTCTTTTGGCCGTTGTGACATAGCCTGTAACTCCGAACATCGTCGGCCTTTTTGGTCGATTCATTTTTATTCGTTTTGTGTATGAGCTTTTAAATGGATGTTCATTTTAACTTTAAACTTGCTTGTGTCTAAGTTTTATATTGTGACGAAATTTGTCTAAGTTATGTCCTCGAGCCACGCTTGTGTTCGGCTGTTACTTTGTGGCCAAATTTGCCTAAGTTATGTCCTCGAGTGGAGATCCTTTCGACCCATTTGGTGGTCCGACGTACTTCGAAATGCGTCGGTCATGCGGAGTGAAGCCTGCTTGCTCGGGCGTATGACCCAGATCGAGGTCGTATGCCTGTGGCGTGAACTACCCATCGTGAGCTGGGTGTTCTGCCATGTGGGTACTTCGACAGTGGAGCTCGATTGAGGTGTCCCTGTCGGGCATCATCGTTCGTCCTCATTTGGCTGAACGGTGTTATGTCGTTTGGGCGTAGATTGGGCCCCGTACCTTGGCCTATCTACGTGGTCCAGGCATTTCTCTCTGTTGACTAGATGTGGATGTTCGACGGCGAGAGTCCTTAGTGT